AACATAGTTGACAGAACTTTTGCGGACATTCATATATTAAGATATTTAAATTATTTAAAGGAGGAAATCAATTAAAAAAATATGATTAATCTTTAGTATTTAGACTTTTGAAATAAATGAATAATAGTTTTTATTTACTTTAATGGTTTTTATTCATATTTTGAAACCAAGCAACACCCTCAACTGAAAAACGGACAGAGCAAAAAACGGTCAATTTAAGAACATCATGACACCTTCAAGCTAAATTAAGCATAGGATGCAGATAAGGTTTGTGTGATATTATAACATGCTTTCCAATAATAGGCAAATATGATATTTTTGAAGAAAATAGAAAGAATAATTATAATTATCATCAATTGACATCAATGGACATGGAATGTACCCTAAATTGTAGAATCACTCGTTGCTTAAAATAATACTTCTGCATACAGTATGTGACACTGTGAGTGTTGCAGCACGGCCAGATACGGCTCAGCTGACTCAGATAAGGAAATATATGATACATTATGATGTGATATGATGTGATATGAATGATAATGGGACACATCGACGGTCTGCACTCAGTGTACTTATGTTGTGGCAGATATTTAAGTAAGCTTTCTTAACGCTAATGTTATAATAGTCAGATTGCTCTGAAGATGGAGGTGATATTCTATTAATGTTCACGTTCACACAGTCGGTGTGATTTTGCCGGCCGTCTTTCCTGCAATGGCAGTTTTTCTGTATTTCCTTTCTCCTGTAATATGACTTGATCGCTTTAAAAACTCTGCACACTGAGCTCTGATTGGTTCAGGCAGGCGGTGCTTTCACTGAGTTGAGCTCTTAGCCTGCAACCTAACCTGGTCGGGAGCAGGTTAGCCGCTAAGCATAAGTTACCATGGAGATCTAGCCTGCTAAAAAGAGAACCAGCTTCGTAGGACCGGAAAGCCGGAGTTTTCCCTGAATTTAGCCGGCTAAGCGAAAATCCTGCTTCGTAGTATACCCCCAGGGAGAACAGAACAGCAAAATAAACCCAAAACTAGACACATAAAACTCAAACCCTGACACAATGTAGGCTACTTTGCAAATATAATTCCTGTTTATTATTATTATTATTATTATTATTATTATTAGTATTATTATTATCAACACAGTTACTTTTTTATACAGTGAGGTAAATGGTAAATGTGCATGTATGTCGTTCGCGTTTACAGGTGCGTATGCATTTCCTGCCAAATACTAGCCTCAAAAATATTAAAATATAATTAATGCAAATAAACTACTTCTACTACTAATAATAATAATCATAATCAATTCAATAATATAAATACCATATTATTTTATTATAATATAGTTGTAATAGTCAAGACAAAACATGCTTATGACATGCTCAAAAACTGATATTTCTTAAATCTGTATTCTAGTTATCTCTGTCAGCAATGTATCAACAACTACACACACATTTCTATCAGTATTTCTCTGTGTTGTGGTTGACATGATGGTGACTGCAGGAGTTAAGGGGAGTGGCTGAGCATCACCATGATGATGACTGCAGGAGTTAAGGGGAGAGGCTGAGCATCACCATGATGATGACTGTTAGGAGTTAAGGGGAGAGGCTGAGCATCACCATGATGATGACTGTTAGGAGTTAACGGGAGAGGCTGAGCATCACCATGATGATGACTGTTAGGAGTTAAGGGGAGAGGCTGAGCGTCACCATGATGATGACTGTTAGGAGTTAAGGGGAGAGGCTGAGCATCACCATGATGATGACTGTTAGGAGTTAAGGGGAGAGGCTGAGCATCACCATGATGATGACTGTTAGGAGTTAAGGGGAGGGGCTGAGCGTCACCATGATGATGACTGTTAGGAGTTAAGGGGAGAGGCTGAGCATCACCCATGATGATGACTGTTAGGAGTTAAGGGGGAGAGGCTGAGCATCACCATGATGATGACTGTTAGGAGTTAAGGGGAGAGGCTGAGCAATCACCATGATGATGACTGCAGGAGTTAAGGGGGAGAGGCTGAGCATCACCATGATGATGACTGTTAGGAGTTAAGGGGAGAGGCTGAGCGTCACCATGATGATGACTGTTAGGAGTTAAGGGGAGAGGCTGAGCATCACCATGATGGTGACTGTTAGGAGTTAAGGGGAGAGGCTGAGCATCACCATGATGGTGACTGCAGGAGTTAAGGGGAGAGGCTGAGCATCACCATGATGATGACTGTTAGGAGTTAAGGGGAGAGGCTGAGCATCACCATGATGGTGACTGCAGGAGTTAAGGGGAGAGGCTGAGCATCACCATGATGATGACTGTTAGGAGTTAAAGGGAGAGGCTGAGCATCACCATGATGATGACTGTTAGGAGTTAAGGGGAGAGGCTGAGCATCACCATGATGATGACTGTTAGGAGTTAAGGGGAGAGGCTGAGCATCACCATGATGATGACTGTTAGGAGTTAAGGGGAGAGGCTGAGCGTCACCATGATGATGACTGTTAGGAGTTAAGGGGAGAGGCTGAGCATCACCATGATGATGACTGTTAGGAGTTAAGGGGAGAGGCTGAGCGTCACCATGAAATGTGCAAATTGACATAAAAATGAATAAAAGGGGGAAAAATGCTCCATGTTTTTTAGGCTGTAAACTTGAACTGTTATGTAAGCCAACTAGACAGACAGTGTATCACTCTTCCTCCTGTACATTAGCAGATAAAAGGCATAACATACTTGAATGAATGGTAACTAAAGAATGCTGGAAATAACTGCATCTCCATGGCAATTGGCAATTTGACTTATACAACATTCGCAAGTTGTACATTGACTCATACAATAACCCACCTTCGAGTGATGCTCTAGTTTCTTCATGTTTTTGTTTTTTTTCCGCTCTTGCTTGCGCCGGACTGAAACTAGGCTTGTTTGAGACAAGCGAGACCTGCGCAGTTGCGATCAACGTCTTGCTCGTGCGTTGCATGATGGTTAGTCATTTTGTCCGACTTGCTCTGGAGGCTCGCCTACATGAGACGTTGAAATCTCGCGGGACAAAGACGCCCGCAGCCTTGAGAGCGAGGCACGGCGAGGCGGCGCAGTTCCTCTCCACGGGCTGCGGAAGCAAAATGCTTGATGGGAAACGACTCGCTGGTATCTCGAGCTGAGCGCTCATTGGTGGTTTTTACCACGTGCTGGTGATGAAACTCTCCAATTGGCTCAGCAAAAGTTTGTTGTTGTTTAGTGTCAGTTTTACGTCGCCACATCCATTCACATTTTTCATCATTGTTCCACAATGTTTATCATAATGACATTAATATCTATATATTTTATACTATACTTGCACTGCTTACCGTTTTCATACTTATATATCTTAGCATATTCATACACACTGTTCATACTGCTCACAGGCTGCTGTGTATATCTAGTGTATTCATACCCCTCACTGTTTTATTCATCATTCAATTCATTCTATATTTATTCTGGAGATGGTGTTACATTACTTTTCACTTCACTGCTTGTTAGAAGCTAAACTGCATTTCGTTGTCTCAGTACCTGTAATTGTGCAATAACAATAAAAGTTGAATCTAATCTTGAGCAGGAACAAATGTATTTACTTAGTACATATCTGACATTTACGATTAAACACATGTGTGCATTCTTTATAATGCAACCGAGTCAAGCCGACTCCGGAGGTGGCGGTAATGCACCTTCAAGTTTGTTTGCAATCCGCCAAAAAAACCGAGAGATAAGAAGAAGAAGAAGAAGAAGAAGAAGAAGCAGAGAAGAAAGAAGAAAAGAATAAGAAGAAGACGACGCAGAAGAAGAAGAAGAAGAAGAAGAATAACCGAAGAAGAAGAAAGATAGATCGAAGAAGACGAAGAAGAGAAGAAGAATAGAAGCCGACTCCGAATTGTCCGACTTCAGGCGAGGCTTTTTGAGGACCTCCCTCCCCCGGCTGCGATCGGCTATTCTCGTCTACTTTCGAGGCGAGCCAGAATGCGTCTCAAACAAGCCTACTGTCTTTTCACCGACATCTCTTCACCTGCCTAGTGGCCGTATCAAGCCGTGATCGGTCAGATGTCGATTCATTGCAACGGTGTCGGGTTACAGACGTGCTTCCCTTGTCACCTCTCACTCTCGCGTGTCAGCGGGGGTGCGCGGAGAACTGCACGGAGAACTGCGCACAGCAAGCTGAGGCCCACTGGGCGGGGCCCACTGGGCGGGGCCCACTGGGCGGGGCCCCCTGCGCAGGGCGGGGCCCCCTGCGCAAGGCGGGGCCCCATGCAGCCTGCGTTATTGGCCTGTAGGGAGGGGCGGCCCTGCGTACCATGCTGCGAATGGATCTGGCCCTTCCTACATCCAGGACATGGTTAAACCGTTCACCCCAGCGCGTGCACTCCGCTCTGCATCAGCCAAACAGCTCGCTGCACCCGCACTACGAGGGGGACCCAAATTCCCATCGGCAAAAACACGTCGGTTTGCTATCCTGGCTCCAAGATGGTGGAATGAGCTCCCCATTGACATCAGGACAGCAGAAAGCTTCAACAAGTCTTCCGGCGCAGACTGAAAACTCATCTCTTTCGACTCTACTTCGAGCGATAGAATACTAACAAATGACTGGCTTATCTAAAGCCAGTTTAGTAGCACTTGAAATGTTTGGCTCTATGAAACCTGATGTACTTATATGATTCTGTTTTCCTCAAGTTTGTTGTCTTCTTGGTCGAATGCACTTATTGTAAGTCGCTTTGGATAAAAGTGTCAGCTAAATGCAATGGTAACGTAATATTATGACCTTGACAAGATACAGATTGGGAGGGCATGCAAAAACACTAGGGTAACAGGGGAACATAATAAGGCACAATCAAACTGCAGGGAAAACACAGGAAGTAAAACAAGACAAGAAACCAAGAGAAAATACATTTCCAGATTAAACAGGAACATTAAACAGAAATACTAAGATCATGAACATTTTCCCTTTGACATATGCAAGCACTGCCTTTACTGTATTTGCTTTGTTGACTTGAATGGACGTACCTTGCTTTTTTGACGTTAAGGATTCTTGCAGAGCAGAATTCAGACTCTCCAGCACCACTACTGTTAAAGAAACATGAACCCAGTAAGTAGAATAGAGGTAGAAATGAAGAAACACCAGACGAGTGCAGTGTGAATGTAAGCTGTTCACCTGGACGCAGTGATATGGTGAGGACAGGCACCTTCTTCTCGTTGCTTTGGTCGGTCTTTCCATTCAACTCCTCTTTCTGATCATCCTCTTTGAATACCTGCCGTGACAAGACCATTATGCCATGAGTCCTTTTTGTCCCTTTTACCGTTACCCTCCATGTCTTCCAAGGTGCTTTCACACTTGTAATTCAGTTCATTTGGTCTGGGAAATTGTTTTATCACAAGAGGTAAACGTATAGTTAGACATACTTTAACGCTTCAGATATATATTTATGTTTGGTGTCAAAAAAGAGCCTTCAAATAAATAAGTCATTATAAGCATCATAAGTCTTATTTGTCATGAATAACAAACCGTACTAATCGGGCAAAGGGCCCACAGTTTATTTGAACCAAAAGACCATTAAGCTGTGAAAGCACACACTGGCTCTACTTCACTCGACTTGCCTCACAAAATCTAATTTACCAATTTGGATTGTACCCACTCCTTGTGTAAACGAGAGAGTTGCTGAATCCTTTCATTGGCAACCAAATGGATGAAGTGGTGTGGTGTTCGTGTAGCTTTGCCAACCACCATTTGAATGAAAACACTGTTAAATCTCAGAGATGTGAAAAAAAGAAGATTCAGTCACTATTGATGATTTTGTAGGATATCCAATGACGCGCTACTGAATATTTTCTCTGATCAATCAGCAGGTTACAGGGTTGCCACCATTTAGTTGCACTTGTAAAGTCTGCTGAGGTGCTACGAAAAAAAGGTACCAGGTAATCTTAAGTGGAAAAAAAAAAAATTGCAAGTCAAGTCGAATCCCACTATTATTGGCTAAAAATGTACCTTGTTATTATGGTTGTGGGCAGACTCTTTGTCTTGTTGTTTGCCTGGTGGGGTAGAGGAGCTTCTGGGGGGGAGGACAGGAGAAGATGAGGGACACTGGTCCGTGTGCAGATTGATTGGCCTTCCCATCCTTGTCAGGGCTCCTTTGTCCTCTGTCTTCACCTTGTAAGGCTATGGGGTGAACATTCTCTTGGTGTTTGGTTGGTTTTGGACTTTCCTCGATCTGATAGGTCCAGAGGCCCATCACATGTCCCTCTTTGCTCTGCAAAGACCCTTTCAGTCTTAGGTGGCAGGATTTGCTTCTTCTCCAGGGGCATAGTTTGACTGTTCACAATATCTGACATACTTCTCAACCGGACCACCACAGTGGGCTCGTTGGCCAGGGGTTGAGGGGTGCTGTGCCTAGTCAGGCTGAACCCCTGTCTTCTAGGGCTGGCATGATGGCTGGTGGGGATCAGGTTGGGATAGCGTGGCGGGTTTGGTCTCTGAGAAGGTTGCACCACCAGGCTGGTCCCCGGAGCAGGCGGGCTGACCCAATCAGAGGACTCAGAGAGGTGCCAGGGGAGAGTGGCAGGGCAGGTCTGGATTGGCTGAGGACGGCAGGGGACGGGAGCATGGAGCACATGTCTGTTGGGTCTCCCTTCTCCACCAGTTAACGTAGGAAAGTTCTTAAGAAGCAGAGCTTGAGGAGGGAGGGAGGGTCGCTGGTCCAGACCTTCTACACTCTGAGATCTGAGAAACAGAGGCCATTCTTTATTTAAAATAAAGAATTAAAGTACCCTAAATATAAACCTTAAAAAAAATCATTCAGTATGCTCTCCTATAATATATCCATCTTTATTTTAAAATGTATTGTAACACTGTTATCCTCATAGTAATCTAATTTTTTTTGTAAATGTAACAGAATTCAGATTTTTGATATGCAATTGTAATCAAATACAGTTATCTTACTTTTGTATCCTGATTACGTAATCTCGTTACATGTAATCTGTTACTCTCCAAACCAGATTATATGATTACTTTTTCAGAAGTAGGGAACACTTCAAATCTCTATTGGGAGTGCTGACTTTTGTTCTTCTTTCCATTTTTTTCTCGATCTTTTCTCAGTTGTCTTTGGATAAATATTGCACACCCAATCCCCGATGTGTTCCATTTGCTGTTCTATTTGACCCTATTACAGCATATTGTACTATTTCCTAAGTGGCTGTGTCTCACCTCCGCTCTCCAGCATGGGGTATGCTAGGTTCTGTTTTCCAGGAAAGAGGCTTATATGAATCCTGTTAGAATTATGGAAAGAGAAAACAAAATGTGTGGCTATTCAGTATCACATTCATAAAGGTAATAATTTCACATTTTCACATCATGCAAAATATGAATCTATTCAGGTAGAAAATTACCAGTAAAAAAAAGCGACATAGCTAGCCTGGCTCTATGCAAAGGAAATGAAATAATCTACACACTTCTCGAGGATGGAGAATAAGGAGATGTTAATGTTTCTGTTTGGGGGTTTTTACACTGAAAAAAGTGAACCGTTGACTTTAATTTGTTATCATGTCAACAGAACTGTATTAGGTTAGTTGAAAGCAATTATATTAAGTTTAAATAAAACAATATTAGATTCAACTTAATTGTATTGCTTTCAACTAACCTAATACAGTTATGTGACATTTGATGACGTAATACATTTAATTAGTCAACGTTTCAGTTTTTTCAGTGTACTTTTGGACAAAGTGAGGCTAGCTGTTTTCCCTTTCTTTTAAAACTCTTAACTCTTATGAGAGTGATTTAGAAACTTACATAGTGGTTTCTGTTGATCCATCTCAGTTGTCTGTGTTGAGCTTCTGTGTGATCACAAACATAATCTAATGTAAAATTGTGAGCATGATAATCAATAAATACACAAGCAAACAGGCTCTTCCTCATTCTCACCTTCACTTCTCTGGTCTGCCTCAGTTTTCACCACAACATCGCCATCTTCTGGCTGGTTACCGGACCTGCTGGTTGCCGTGTGGATGAGGGCCACGGGGCCAGAGGGGGGGGGAGAGGTCGGGGGGGCTATGTGCTTTGACCTCTGTGCTGCTGTCGCTCTGGCCTCTGCTGCACACACAGGGTTATGATTTATTACAGCAGGGGGGCTTTGTGGGAGGGGGCCTTCAGGCAGACCACCCTCCATTGTCAGATACTGGTCAAACACCAAACATGTGTTCACATATATACAGAGGTGGAAGAAGTACTCAGATTATTTACTTAAGTGAAAGTAGCATTTCTACAGTGTAAAAGTGCTCGGCTTAAGTACATGTCCTGCATTCAAAATATATTTAAAGTATCACAAGTAAAAGTAGTCAATATGCAGAATGACCATTTAGGCACCATATCTTTTTAATTTGTTGTATCAGTTATTTGTGCAGGCTGTGGAGGCTATGTATCTGTTCATCACTTCAGTTGCACTTGGTAACATTGGGTTTATTTGAATTACTTTATATAATAATGTGTTGCCTAACCTATAATAATTTACGATCATGAATTATTTGATTTATATAATTGTATTCATAGTTTACAAATCTGCAGAGTAGCTAGTAACTAAATATGTTAAATAAATGTAGTGGAGTAAAAAGTATGAATTTGAGTAATGATGATATACTAACTCGAGTGCTGCTCGTAAACTCTGGAGCTCCTCTCGCAGCCTCTTGTTCTCTTTTTCTGGTTGTTCATTTCTCCCGCTACAAGACAGAGAACAAGCCACGATCAGAGTGTTGGACAACAAGCCACGATCAGAGTGTTGGACAACAAGCCACGATCAGAGTGTTGGACAACAGCCACGATCAGAGTGTTGGACAACACGCCACGATCAGAGTGTTGGACAACAAGCCACGATCAGAGTGTTGGACAACACGCCACGATCAGAGTGTTGGACAACACGCCACGATCAGAGTGTTGGACAACACCGCCACGATCAGAGTGTTGGACAACACGCCACGATCAGAGTGTTGGACAACACGCCACGATCAGAGTGTTGGACAACACGCCACGATCAGAGTGTTGGACAACACGCCACGATCAGAGTGTTGGACAACACGCCACGATCAGAGTGTTGGACAACAAGCCACGATCAGAGTGTTGGACAACAAGCCCACGATCAGAGTGTTGGACAACAAGCCACGATCAGAGTGTTGGACAACACGCCACGATCAGAGTGTTGGACAACAAGCCACGATCAGAGTGTTGGACAACAGCCACGATCAGAGTGTTGGACAACACGCCACGATCAGAGTGTTGGACAACAAGCACGATCAGAGTGTTGGACAACACGCCACGATCAGAGTGTTGGACAACAACGTTTTCTTTTCAAATGTATTATTAGGTGAAAGAAAAAACATGGATAGAGTTTGAAAGAGATTTGTTCTTAATGGAAAAGGCAAAGAAGTATGACAGCGTTTTCGGGCCAGCGCAGGTTCAAATGAAATCACAGAGCAGGTGGAGGGGGGGTAATATATATAACAAATATATTTCAGAGATTAAAATAATTAAATGTTAAAAATTAAGAATGATGAACATGTAAATATAAAAATGTTCCCCATGTACATCAAAAAGGTAATTGTTGATGCTGACCCATCTATCTTTGGCCGTACTATAATAAGGCAAAACTATACAAAAATGAAATAAAGCATAATAATAATAACAGTAAACATCGTACCAAAATACCCATTCTCTAGGATAATAACGTGTCCATTTGCAAAGAAAGAATCTGAAATACTAAGATGAAAATGTACCATACAATCCTTATATGCCGTCTTAAAGAGAGATAAGAAATATATCAAATGAAAAAGTATGAATGCTGATTCAGTCTGACGTGACAGAGTATGAAGTGACAGAGTATGATGAAGGTGACAGAGTATGATGAAGGTGACAGAGTATGATGAAGGTGACAGATGGGAATGGATGATCACGGATTTGAAAGGCAAGCAGAATACCCAGCAGGGAGAGGTTGTGCAGGCTCTGGATCTGAGACGCTTCAAACTCCTGCTGTCTTCTCTTAGCCACTTCCTGAGTCACCGTGCACCTGTCACACAGCCCCGCCCTCAGCCTGAAACACACATCCTCTTTTTACATTCACATACATCACACACAGGCCACAGTGAGACCACGACACTTTGAATTCAGTCAACTAAGTTGAATTTATAAGCATTCAATTGCACCATTTCCTAATTCAATACACCTTGTGGTCGATAATGTTAGCAAACATTAAACAGATTCTATTGTGTTAATGGCATTCATGTTAGCTGACTTTGTTCCACTTGTGCTACTATTAACCTATAGTGTTTATATTACCATTATATAATTTTGCCAAAGTGTTTGTAATACATTTTTGATTCAACCATTATTTAACCAGTAATACATTGAGATTAAAAACCTATTTTTCAGAGTGTGCTGGCCAAGACAAGCAACACAAAAGTACCCAGCGTGTGTAGGCATCACAAAGACACATGAACAAATGTCCTAAATGGAAGAGAACTATCAATTATCCTTTCTAGAACCCCAGTACCTGTTCTCCAGGGTCTTGATGTTCTCTGTGAGTAGTCTCTGCTGTTCTTTCATCTGCTGGTTTTTGGTGAACAGATCTTCCATACGCTTTGTATCACTGTTTATACACACAACACACACCACACACACACACACACACACACACACCACACACACACACACACACACACAGTCAGATACGCATCCAACAAGAATAAGGCTGCTGTCTGAATGTTATGAGATGACACAGCGAGTCTGATTGATATGTTCAGTGAGAAAGCATTATTGTGATAACAGTTAGTAGAATCAGAAAACAATCCCTGTGTCTTTAAAATATCACATGCTGTTCTTAACATGTAAATACACCCTCTACTTATGTTCATGTAAAGTTATCCATTACATTGATGATTGAATACTCATTGCAGCACTCTTAGCACTAATGTGTTGTTATCTACAGGTTACAGAAACAGGGTGACTTACATATAAACATAGTATTTGTTGTTCATTGTTGCTTTTATATTTTTTCCATTTATGCCTCTATCTACCTACATAGTAAAAAAAGAAAACAGTTCTAGGTTTATTTGTACCTACTGGTATTTTGTCCTTGTGTAGTTGTGTTCTTGTTGTAGCTGTGCTTCTATCTCTATTTCTAATGGGACTGTACGTTCATTGAGAGCAACATAAACTCGAGTCAAATGAATTGTATCAGAACACAGACATATACAACATCACTGATTCACCTATAAGCATTTAAAATACAAGACACTGAACAATTCTGCACTAATGGTCAGTGCTGTATTAATGTATTATTGGATTTGAATTATAATTACACATCAGCATGTAAGCTCTACTTCTGCTAAGCTGAAGCATACTGTCATCTGGAATGGATTGACATCAATGCAGTAAAAGGAGTTGAGCTGACTTTAAGTTACAGGTAAGGCACAACCTGTACAGCACAGTACGTCTGACGAGTTATACCAGCTGACATTGTAATGAATCAGCTATTGAGCCACATTAAGTGGACCAGTGTTTGATAGAGATGAGATGATTCACTATAAGATGTAAAGACATTCTTGAATAGAGTGGTGCAAGAACAAGTCGTTAAAACCTTGGCTTGAGTTAGCAGTTGACCACTTAAGCTACCTCATCTCTGAGTACTTCTACGAACGTCTGCCAAATATGTTGTTATATTCCAAAAAGCAATGGAGAAATCCCATGGCTTTTTGTGGAGGGAGCCCTTGCTAGGCATCATCACTGTAACTTTCTATTGTAGCAATGATCTAAAATAAGACGACCTCTCTATCAGGATGATTTTCCACTGGTTTTAAAAAGAAAACGAAAGTGTTGTGACTCAGACTGAATAACTTGTTGCAACATGAGCTTCCTCACAAGCTCTCCGTGACACGGGCACACACGGGGCCAGGTGCAGGAGCAGCCCGGTCCACACACTGCTGGCTCTACGGCTAAACTTGAATATCTTGAAAGCGTTGTCTAAACACGACCATTGAGGGGGTGAGAGATCCACCCACCAGCCTTTCTTGTTGGACAGCTCTTGGATTTTCATCTGCCACCCTGAAAGTCAAACACACATGGTTTTAACCCTTGACACAGGATACTCTGCACATTACAGCTGCTTTAGAAACTTTTGATGGCTTCTGGTTTCCCGTTTTACACTCACCTTCAACTTCCCGCTCGTGGACCTCCCTCAGTTTCAGGAGCAGGCTGTTGAAGCACTCCATTGTTACCTCCTCTGATTTCAGTCTGATTGCACAACAGAAGAGAGACAGAAAATATTTTGTCAACGTTTTGGATTGATTGAATGAAGCTGAAAGTGATGATAATGCAATTACATTACAATCTGCGTATAGTACTGCATAATCACACAGTAGTCCTGAGTTCTCCTAGATATTGTAGAAGGCACAACAAGTGCAGAATTAAAAGAGCTCCAGTAGACCTTCAACTAGGAAATAAACTTGGAATAATTGATAGAAATATGACCTTTTTGATTGTTAAATGTACAGTGAAAAACTGAAACGTTGACTTTAAATAATTGTATTATGTCAACAGATCTCACATCACTGTATTAGGTTAGTTGAAAGCAATAATATTAAGTTGAACCTAATATGTTATTTAAACGTAACCTTATTGCTTTCCACTTACCTAATTCAGTTATGTGTTATTAGTTTACGTAATACATTTAATTAAATTCAACATTTCAGTTCTTTCAGTGTATGAATGTAAAGAAGGTGGCATCAGATCTGTGTCATCATGTATTTGCTCAATCTGCTTGCATTGCACTTTGTTTTATTTACTTTTATATACACCAACTAATACCACCTTAGCAAATCCTTGTGATATTTATTGCAATTTATGAATGTTTGGCTTTTCAATTATTTTATACGCAGATTGATAATGTGCATAAAACCCTACAGATAGTCAATGAAATATCCTTTAGGGTGTATTAGACTTGACAGTACACAATTGTATGACCATTCTCCCCTGCACTAAAATAAGATAAATCTACTAATGTGTGAAGATAGTGAGACATTCAAGGTTGTTGGCCGTTGTAGCCTGGGGACTGTGTTGTGTTCAGGGTGTACGTCACACACTGCTGCTGCATAAAAGCTGCTACACGAATCTGGCGGCAAAATGTTGTTGTTATATCAAGGATGATAGGAACCCGATAGACTGGTTCTGCGAAGGGTTGTGTTTCAAGTATACAAAACCCCAGCTCTTATACATTGTGTATATGAATGCAGATTAGTACAGCACATGGTGTCGATTTGTGTCACTGATTACAAATAAGATCTTTTGTTGATTTAAGTCTCAATGCAAGCAGGTAACTTAAAGTGTCACTTTCAGCTTGCTCATTATTTCACATGATCACTACAAGCACATTCATTGAACACTATTGAGCATTTTGATCAGCGCGGATCAGACGCTCTCAACGTGTCGGGATATGTCAGGAAAAGGGTGTCAGTAGAGCAAGAAAAGACCTGTCTGCCTCCATGTGCCCGCTCTGCTGTCTCCAGATCAGTATTCTCACGCACACACGCACAGGTTGCCAATATGTCTTACCTACTCGTGAACTAGCATTGAATTCCCAGAATCTTTAAATCTGTTATGTCTGACGCTACTCTATGACACTCCTCCCACTATTAGCATTATCACATAAGGGTGGAAGTATGCAGCCTAGGATGCTCTACACCTACTGTGTAGAAATACATGCAAGTGTGTAGTTGTCAACCTGGCTGCTTATCTCACCACTGGAGCTTCAGCAGGATCAGAATCAGAACACCTCCCATCTGTTGGTGATCTGCTGTCTGACAGAAACCAAACTTGAGAAGATGTTCAGCTGCTGAAATGTATTCACTGCAGTCACCCTTTATCGACGGATTCTGTTTGAATCAAGTAAAAAAAGCTCTTTGGAAGCTTCTGTTGGAGCTGCTTTGCTTCCAGACCTCCCATTGTCCAACTGTCTGAGTATTAGTTTTGCCAAGAGTATGGCTTTAAAGCAAATAACAATACATGATAAATGACAGACACACACACAACCACACACACACACACACACACACAGCACACACACACACACACACACACACACACACACACACCACACACACACACAACACATACACACACACACACATAACATGTATACATCACTTCAGGGGACATTACATTGACTTACATGCATTTCCCGGAGACTTATCCTAACCTTAACCAACACAATGCCTAACCCTAACCCTTACCCTTAACCTTGCCCTTACCCTAAACCCTAATCCTAAACCTAACCAAGTCTTCCCCCTAAAATTAATGATGGCCCCTCATGGGGACCTCCATTTTGTCCCCATAAGGGAGGCGAGTCCCCACACGTGACTATGTAAACAGATTAGGTCCCCACAAGTATAGTAATGCTAGGCCCACACACACACACACACACCCCACACCCACACCCACACACACACACACACACACACACACACACACACACACCACACACACACAGCCTCTCACACACACACGCGCACACACACACACACACCACCACACACATACACACACACACACACACACACACAGCACACACACACACACACACACACACACACACCAGCACACAACACACACACACCACACACACACACACAACACACACTACCCCAGAGCAGATTTATTTTGCAACATTGTATTCACTTAATTAAAGGACTTACAAGCAACTATAAATAAAATCAACTACTAGTTGTGGTTGTAGTGCCAGCTCTGTCCTTGCCAGTCCTCCAGCCTGCTGCACATACCTGCCTCCCCCCCCCCCTTCCCTCCCCTCCCTGTCAGGTAATCTATTCCGGCCGGCTCAGGCAACAACTTCAGCTCATTCAGATGGAAACTCCACCTCTGATATCGGAGGCCGTCTCCTGCCCTTCACTCGCCCGGTGCTAGAGATTATCTGAGTGATACAGAGACAGAGCAATAGTGAGGAGAAGAGAGGAGAACAAGGCAAGGGAGAACGCCCCACACCCTCCCCTCTCTCCACCCCAAAAAAACCAGTTGGAGCTGTCGTCCCCTTAAGTAACGCAAACACTGAGGGCCCGGGCAAGTTGGCCCTTGATTTTCCTGTTCTGCTGAAATCCCACATAACCGGCTAAACTGGTCCCATAAAGCCCTGTGGGGATCGAGAGAAAAACTGACTGGCAAACACAAAGCAGCAGAGCAGAAGCCTGGCACGGGAAATCAGAAGTTAGTTATTTATTTCATTCAAAAGAAGGAAAGAAAATAATAACTCAAGTAACTAAGTACATTTGTTCCATGTTTGCTACTTTGTACTTCTACTCCACTACAGTTCAGAGTTAAATTGTCTACTTTTACTCTACATTTATTTAATACCTTTAACTAAAGGTAAAGTAACTACTTTACCTTTAGTTACTTTACAGATGTGGATGAATGATGTGAAATATAATCAAGTGTTGAATCAGACTTTAGTTCCACCTGGAGTAAATCCACCAGCTAACCCTGCAGTATACAAAGTCATTCAGACTAGCTGCACCTTTACCAGCTTTGAGAACACTTTCATGATCAATCATTATAAAACATATCATATATATTAATTCTGAAATGGACCAATCTGCACACGACTACTTTTACTGTCGCTACTTTAACTATATTTTGATGATAATACTTTTCTACTTTCACTATATTTTGGGTGCTAATAATTTTATACTTTTACTCGAGGAAAATTTGAAGGAACTTTTACATGTAACAGAGTTATTCCTACTCTCCAATACTTTCTACCTTTACTTAATTACGAGGTCTCAGTACTTCTCCCACCCCTGATAACCTTGTGATAAGGCAAGATTCATAGCCCATCGAGTGCTGGAATGTAATACATTATATAAAAGACTCCTTGTGTCTCAAACTTTAAACTGTATAAATGTTGGACCCAGAGGTTGGAATCAGGCAGTTGGAGTGAGATAATAGTTATAGTCTACATGTTTGTCCATCACCATAAAGGATTCATATCTTGAATTCTGTTAGTGTGTACCATACTGTGTGAGTGAGAGGAGCCATAAAGCAGCGACAGGGTGCGGTGGACTCGCTGACAGTGGTGATGGTATGTAATACTATGAAAAACAATAGCACTGGCACGTATGTTGACACTGAAAACTGCACAATAGACATGATGCATGCCTCATCTGAATAAACGCCATTTCCTGATTCCTAAACCAGATTCCTTATAACCAGCCTGACGGGGCTGAGGCAGCATCTTCGCTGCCATCCTCCTCCTCCTCTCTGCCCCAGCCGGCTGTCACAGGTTTCATACATTCTACACCTACAGTATGAGAAGATCAACAGCATGAACTCTGATTATATGTTCTGTTGAAGAGGTTCACTGATGTGACGTCCAGGCATGCAATGGATCCCTCGTGTACAGCAGTGGTTCCCAACAGGGGGTACAGGGACCCCTGGGGGTACTTGAGGGGATTGCAGGGGGTCCGTAGAAAGATTAGGGATTGCAATTTATTAAATTGTGAATCAATTTTGATTAGCCCGGTGTTTTTGGTCTAGTTTGGCCACAAGTAACTGTTCCTCTCGAGATGGTGTTGATTGATTGACCTCTGTAGCTACGGCGGCGCGAATAGCAACGAGCTAACCTTAGCTGCAAAGTGTTGGTAAGAATGGATTCATGGTGAAACAGGACAAAGCTACAAAGCCCATCCCTGCAAAACCAAAGAAAAAAATACCAAACACCAGCAGTTTCGGTGAGAAATACATTTCTCATCTTAGTTGTGTACATCTGTTGATCTGTCGCAAGCCAGACTTCAGCCCTTTTTATGCGGTGAAGCCCGGCAAGTAATTCTATGAAGCCAGCGCACATGCAGCATCACTGAGCACCACACACACAGGGAGTGTTTGTAGGCGAGTAATCACAGATGAGGGAGGGGGTTCTTAACAGAATGGCGACCAGCTCAAGGTTGGGAGGCCACTGGTGGACAGAACAGACCAAAAGAATAGTTACAATATCAAGTTCAGGATGACAGTACAGATTTTATTTGAAGTATACGGATATGGAGAGGAGTCCAAATACTTGGTGCAGCTTGAAAGACAGACTCTGAATCACACCACTTGGATCTGGGAAGAAGGACGGACTACATGAAGGTGTCAGTGACTACAGGAAACAAACAGAGAGGCTGACTGAGGTCAAGCCTTGTGGCAATTGTCTTATGCGCTATCTAAAAAATGTATTGCTGAGATCAAAACAGTAACTTCATGAAAAAACTTAGATGATCAACTTATTACAACATGGACAAAGACATTTTATTAGTAATCAAAGCACTGTTAAAGTTTGCTGTCAACAAAAAAAATACAGCGACCCTCCCACACAACTCACCAGAGTTACAAAGTAACACGCTACTGTAATCAGATTACACTTGTCTGTAATGGTTGATGGTGCAATCTCACGTGAGGTTACACAGTAGTGTCCAAAACTAATATAACTAGTAGTGGTAACTAATTACTTTCAGGCAGTGAGTTCATTTAGTAAAGTAAGGCATTACTTTTTTAAAGTTATAACTAGTAATGTGTAATGCATTACTTTTTTTAAGTAACCACCCCAACACTGCTCCTCACACAGGTGGACAGCTGATTATAATCCATATGACTGCTGCATATATCCATGTGACCCACACAAACCAACCCATTGCGATCACACAATAATATATTATAATATTTCAAACCATTACCCATACAAAAAATATATACTACTACAAACCTAATTACTATGAAGGTTTCCCATTTCTCAAATTCCCCTCCTCGACTCCTATCCTCGTGTCTTAGTCCCGCCCACAGGAAATGCGAGCGGAGGAGTCGAAGAGGGGAACCGAGGAGAGAGGAGGGGAAGCAGCAGGCGGTTAGAGAAATGAGAACTCCTCTCCTCTGAGCGGTCATTTTAAAGAGACGTCCATTAATGATGACAGGAGGCACAGCAGCACTCTGTCTGATGGACAGATGTGTTCATGATGACTTATATATTGATAGTGCGGTATAATGAGACAATAACAGGCTACAGATGCGGACATATATACACACACAGATATATTTATATAAATCTAAACAACAGAATCAAACAAGAGCACTCTCATAATAACGTAACACAATTAGAGACTGGATATATCCCCCCCTCTCTCTGGTCGCTACAATGGAGAATTTAAATTAAGGGCCAAAAGTTTTATTTACAAGTATTAAAAGTAAGCATAGGACACCAAATCAGCTGAGACCTGTCTGTCAGCCGCATCGGCCCACACACACACCTACACACTGTACAACACGCACCTACAGCTCCTAAAGTATATAATATATATCAGAATACAGCTGTTGTGTATTTTATTATGTGAAGCACTAAATGGTTTTAGAAAAATATCGACTCTTTGTTTGTAGATATCTACTAAACTAAAAGCATACAAACAAATAAGAGTGTAATGTAGGCCTGTTATACTGAGTGATATACTGTATGTACTATATATTCAGATTTATATGGGGACATGTATGTACTATATATTCACAATTATATGGGGACATGTACTATATATATTCACAATTATATGGGGACAAGCATGTACTATATATTCACAATTATATGGGGACATGTATGCACTATATATTCAGATTCATAAAAGACCATGTACGTACCATATAGTCCGAACATGAGTGCAATATATGTTCACAATGAGGAGAAACGCATGTTCTGATAAAATAAATATTTTATTTGTTTTTTTCTATCAATGTGTAACAGTTATCAAAATACTCATTCAAAGGACAAGGAAAGAATCAAAGAAAAGGCCTATAAACAACACATTATGTAATGACTCAAGACAATTTTCACATAATTAAGTAATAAAACCCACATTTTGTAATAATCTGCTGCATTCTGTAATCAACAGCCTGAACCAAATATAAAATACATTTCCCTGCATTTTGTAATAAATTATTACAAAATGCGTGAGTTGCCCTTTTAAAAAACTGTAATATTCATTATGTAACCATAACCATAACATGTTGGCTAATGAATATGGTAACACTTGATCTAGTTTTGGCCAATGAAAGATATTCTACTGAAATATTTTTTAATTAATTATGAGTAAGGATGATTCATGGTTGAATAAATAAATAAACAGTTGTAATGTTATTGTTTACAACTCATTTTGTAATAACCACTGCAATATGTAATATATTTCAAAATCTGGCGACATGTATTACATATTTGCATTGAACTTGTTTACTACATAATGGGTAAATTATTAGAAAATGAGGTGTTATTACATAATGAAGGGAAAATGTATTACATGTTGTATAGGTATAGTTAATAAAGGATGCATTGTTATTTCATACAGGGCCAAAAAGAGCAGTCTGTTATCCTATTTAGCAATCTTGTTTTTTTTTCACCTGGTGACAACTTTAAACATGAGCTGATCACTCATTAAAAGAAGGTCCGAATCAGGCCCAAAGAACAGTCTTGTACCCTAGTCCATCTTGTTTTTTTCGCTTCACCTGAACTCACAAATTCTTGTGTTAATGGATTTTCTTATATCTGATGTCTTGGTCCCTGGATGGTGGTTTACTACAGCATCTGTGGAACAGAACAATTACAAATAATTAGAAGTTCACAAAAGACAGCAGGAATTATAACAATATCCATAATATCTATATTAAAGCATGGGCTGGCTTGGTGAATAATGTGGGAATGCAAATGTGACCCGCTCTATCGAAATCAGTCGGAAGTCGCAACGGCTCATTTCAAAATAAACGTGGATTTACGTTAAAAACTATTTTTTCGGGGTTCGGGTGTTTTGTTTGATTTTAAACAAACAAAGTCTTGGCTTTCAGAAAATATTTATTTCCAAAATTACACGATAAATACATTTTTGAAGCTTGTAAAGGGACGAAGACAGGCACCTCTCACTCGCAATCTGCTCTTCCGCAGCGCCGCCCCCCCTCCCTCCGGCTGATATTATGAATGTAAGCATATAGTAATCATA